CTTTGTCGAATCTAAAAAGATAGAAGCTCCAACTAAAACAATGCCTGAAGAAACCAATGCCAACAAAAAGCCTGAAGTACATGGATTCAATTTTGTTCCAGTCTTAACTCAAGCTGCCCATTAACTCAAATATGGCAGATGGTGAACAAATTTAACAACAAAAACACAAACATTAAACATGCTCCCCCTTCAGTTGTCAGAAGATATTCTACAATGTAGCTATGTCCACCTTTTGTTGACAAACATATAACTTACCCAGCTACACTTATAGAATAACATTATTTACTAAAAGAACATCCGAACTGGAATATGCTATTAAGATATCCAAAAACGCAGCCCCAGGCTCAGTATATTACGTTACAAAAAATGGGTATGCTGACCAAAAGATTACTTCTGCATATTTATAACTATATCTTGCAAACTGGAATACTTCCTTACAAATTGAATGATTCCTTTGTTATATTAAATCTAAAACCGGAAAATATAAAGATCATCGGGATTCATATCGACCAATTACATTATTGTCATGCATTTTTAAAACATTCAAAAGAATTCGAACATTGAGAATGGAAATTTGGATAAGGTGATATAGTATACTACCAGCAACACAATTTGGCTATAAAGAAGGCTGTGGTACGACAGATGCAGTCGTTGGTCTGACTACAGATGTTTGAATTGGCTTTTCCAATTGTTTATCGACATAAAAACTGCTTATGACAATATTGATTTAAATATACTGTGTGATAAACGTCTTTCTTGGAGTTACAAAAGCCGTGGCATATTTACTATCAAATTTGTAAACAGAAATGTATCGATTCGAATAGGTCATAATATCATAGGACCAATATTACATCAAAAGGCAATCCACAGGGAGCTATTTTATGTCCACTACTTTTTAATCTGTACACACATGATTTGCACAATGTATGGTCTTCCAACATTGGTTGTTTACAATATGCTGATCATATTGTCATCTATTCACAGAATAAAACGTATACCCAATGTATTACTAAACTAAAACATATAATACACAACTTTGATAGCTGGACTTTGTTCAAAGGCTTCACTATTTCGTACTAAAAGTGTGCTGTAGTTTTTTTTCTAGAAAACAACCTACTAAAGATGATACTATATCTTTACAGGGCAATTTCACACCAATTGTTTCGGAATTCAAATACCTTGGTGTGATACTTGGCAGAAAACTGCTTTGGAAGCAATAAATTAACTACACAATTAGTTACTGCAAAAATATAATATAAATATAATAAAGATAATCAATCAATTAAATATAGCCGATTTTAACATCTATATTATTTTTAAAAAAGAATTTTGACACCACTTGCAAAAGCATTTGTAACTTGCAATGAACTCAAGTTAAATTATCCTTATAATCCGATTTGAGAATCATTGTATATACCACACCTGACAAGTGTCCTATCAGCAAACATTATTATTCCTAAATACCAAACTGAATTTTGTCATAATACTTTCAAGGAGATCTTGCGTAACAATTCAGATTACATGCAATCTAAAAAGATTGGTCGAAATTGAGATTCAATTTAATTCAGTTCAGAAATGAAGATTAAAAAAGCATTTACTCTAAATAATCAATCAAGCTATATATAAAGCCCTTGAATGGTGTTGTGAAAACCAGTGGAACAAAATTGCCGTGTGCCCTCATTCATTATTGGTATTAAATGCATTACTAAACTTTAAAGTCACTAGTATTGCGGATCCAATAGACAAAAATCTACAAAAGCACTCATATATTGATTGAAGAATTTAACACATGTTATCTCATTGCATATATGTGAAACATGATATCAAATTTAAATGGAATAGACGTTGGACTCAGTTCGGTGAAACTACAGGCACTAATTTGTTTAAATTACAATTAACAGTAGCTGCAAACCAATTTTAAAGTTGTTGTACTAAGTAGAGATACAGTGTCGACTAACCTAAGATTAAAAGTAGATTATGGATGTTTTCCAAAGCATCTACATAAAATCGGAGCTCTCCCAACAGACAGATGTGAGTTTGGAACTAGCATAGCTGATTTAAATTAGTCAAGAATTGCTGAAAACAAGTTTAAAGACGCCATTAACCATATGGTTGCACTGATCTCAAAGTACACTGCAGCAGGTTCCTTGCCTTTTACATAAGAATGAACGATGTTACCGAGTGGTTACATTGTGTGTCGAAGAGGGGGTAATAGTCGTGAAACACAGAGTTGAAAATAACTAATCGTTTCATCAATTTGTTCAATCAAAAACCCAGATATGGGTTTTTATCATTTCAGCATTTATTTAACTTTGTATCGAGACCTGAAGATGCTTTGCATATTGTAGAAAGCGAAACCGGTCGTCTGATAGTTAAATTAAATTGATTGTGAGGAAGTCTTATTTATTATTTCTTTACCTATTTGAAATGGACTCACACAAGCAACACATTCATGATTTAAATATCTTAAATTTTATATAATAGATATATTTTAAAAATAGTACTTTTTCCAATTTTTACTATCTCACTTCCCAATTGCTTGATTTCTTCAAATTCTATTGTTTAGATTTTATATTTCTGTATTTCATCTAAATTTCTTAATGCTCCTTCTTCGTGGGTCCCTCTTAAGTTCCATGCTCACACTTTCAGTATCATCTTGCTATCTTCTTTATCGTAGCGATGTTGTTACCATTTTTCAAAACCATAGTTTGCTTACTATTAATATTTTTCGAGCCCCCTTGTGCAGCTTCTCCTTTTTTATTTCGTATAGCTGCTCTTTCACGTCATCCTATCTTCATTCCCTACCGTCCAATGTTAAATTTTTGTATTCTATTCTTGCCATTTTTCCTATTCCCTATTTTATGCCACTTTGCTTATTTGTTTCTGTATTTATTTTTCTTTCATTGATTTCAGTTTCTTTCTATAACACAGAGATTCTCCCCAATCTTTGTGGCATTCCTTAATTTCACTTTTACTTGTAGTTCAAAGCTTTTTTACTCTATTCTATGCAATTTTTTATTCCTTCTCTTATGTTTCTATTGTCAGCTGTGTCCATTTTTAATCTTGATATTATCAGGTGTTTCTTTTTAGTGTATTTCTCTACGTGTCCGATTCTTTTCTGTAGTTGTTTTACCCCTTTTTTCAAGTTTTGATTCTCTTGCCTCATTTACATTAATTGCTTATTGTTTTCGGCTTACTCCTTCCTCACTTGCTTTATTTTTCATATTCATCATTTTTTCATTCTTCACCATAAGTTCTTCCAACATTCTAATCATAACTGTATTTGTATCTTCGTCTTCATCTTCTTCATTTTTCTGCGATGCTCTGTTTGTTTGTTTGGTTCTTATAAAGTTGTAATCCTGTTTTCCTATATTATTTATTCATGTCATATGAAGAAGAATGTCATCAATGAAGAAGTACTGCGGAGGATGAACACAACCGCGGATTTAGCCAGCATTGTGAAGAGCCGTAAGCTGGAGTACTTATGACATATAATGAGAAATCAAGGCAGATACGAGCTACTCCAATGCATTTTGCATGGTAAAATTGAAGGAAAAAGAGCCCCAGGACGAAGAAGAATATCCTGGCTTGCTAACCTGAGAGCATGGTATAGAAAGACCTCAACACAGCTATTTCGTATAGCAACCAACAAAATCATCATAGCCAGAATGATCGCCAACGTTCGGAACGGACAGGCACCCTAAGAAGAAGAAGAATGTCATATATGTTTACAGAATAAATAGCCCGCCCCTAAGGGATAAAAATTTAACAACAGCTTGTTTATAGTATAGTTTTCAGCAAGATGCTGTAGATATACAATACAAGAACGCATAACAAATGAAGGAAATCAACAAATGATAAATGTGGAGGAATATATGAATTAATTATAACAATATTATCCAATTTGCTTGTAAGAATAAAACATAAATTAGAAATAGTATGAAATTTCTATTGCTAAATAGTACAAAACACTTCTATTTCTTAATTACAGCACCCCCTTCAATTGCACTTAATATTACTAAAATTCAACATTAGCCTTAAAAGGATCCATCGAAACAAACAGGAAATGTATCAAAATTATTGATTCCTTGAAATGCAGGAGCTGGAGACAGAATAATGCTATTAGCGCTGACCTATATCTAGATGTTTTCGAACAAGTTTAAAAAATATCGTTAGTTTTAAGGTCACGACGTGGTAAATAACGTAAAAACATGTGCATAATACGAAGAAATCGATCAGAATGGTAAATAAACGAACACTATACAACACAACACATACTTTAAAAAACATTTAAGAAGAATAATCAATGTGTTTATAACAGATGTAGTTAACAACTATATTAAAAATTAAAGCTTGACGCTAAAGTCGATATAGCACTATATATTACAAATTAAAATTTAGCGCGATATTAACAAGTATTTTCAAAAGTAAGACACTTCGTTTGAGAACGATACAATAGAGTATTAGTAGCAAGTCTGAGACCTACCATCTCCATACAAATAATACATATGCAACACACCACACACAAATATATAATCTACGTTAACACACTTTTCAAAAACATATACAAAAAACTAACAAAATAGTCAGTATTTGATATTCCGACGGTAAAAACGACACTCTCAGATTTTTTAACCACAAAACATGCTGTTGTCTATCAGATCGAGGTCAATTAAATCAACCATCAATTTTGAAAAACATAACCTACAACCAACAACTTGTTGGTTATATATTTTCGAAGAATTTTTAAAATAATCTTCTTGAGAACAATTTCCGGAATGGAAATCGGAACATCAAACATTAGTTAATTAAAAATGAAATTTTCATTAAAATCAAATGTGACCCATATAAACATAATATTGTGAATTGGAAATTGTGGAAGCCTTGTCTATTAGGATGAACTTAATACCCTCTTTTCTATGACGTGAAAATAACATTAAAACAATTTACTTTTACTGTTTTCGTAAAGAAAAATGCATCTGGTATATCATGCAACTTACCGCACTTTTACATTCATAAAGTTTTTTCAGCTCTTCGTACAGCCACATTTCAACAGCAAGCCGCTTCCTGATAAGACTCATTTGATGGTGTCCGTACTTGGCGGTAAGAAACTTCTCCCGTTTCTCCTTGATTTCTCCCTTGTCCTTGAAATTGACGTGCAAGCCAGTCTTGGCCGGTGACCTTTCCGACCTCACGTCTGCGAGGATGCCGCCTCCGCCCCCACCGCCTCCAGGCGTAGTGCCGTTCGTGTAACTCGCTCCCGTTACGCCGCACTCCATTTTATTAAGGTTCGGGGGATGATGCTGCTGGAAAGAGAACAAAGATATATTAAAAACATGATATGTGTAGGCAAATTTCAGAGCGTGTACATATACATGTATTAGGAATTTAAAACGTTTAATCGGGTTAATGAAATACGAAACGTTGGCTCTTTCATTTAATATGAAAAATTTTTCATTACCAAACAATAAATATAAATAAAAACATAAACAAGACGTAATAGTCTTAAATAATTCTTATAGAATTTTTAGGAAATTTTCAAATTTCTCAATCAGAATATCGACATATCCATAAAATATAACTCAACAAAATATCTGTCTCTTTGTGAAGAGGGTAGAAGTAAATATGTGAAGTAAATATGTGAAGTAAATATACTTAACCATCAAATTATATGATAGGGCATTTTACATATCAACCAACAAGAAATACAACAGCAGGATTTTAGCGAGGCCAACGAGAAAGACCTTTATTTGGCCACGGATTGTAGGTAGTTATACACATATATATATATATATATATATATATATATATATATATATATATATATATATATATCCGTAAACTTATTTTTCTATCTTAAATAGACAAAAAGATATCATTGATGGTAAATACAGTCAGTTGACTTCTTCCAGTCTTGACTCCAAACTTCATGAAGATTTGAAAAGGATGAAGAAAATCCGTGCCCACAGAGGTATGAGACATTACTGGGGTCTTAGAGTAAGAGGTCAACATACCAAAACTACTGGACGCCGTGGACGTACTGTTGGTGTATCTAAGAAGATATTTTGTTCCATTTATTCCATTTTTCAAAAATCGAAGTCTGAGAATTTTTTTTATTCTCCATAGATGGCGCTGTGATCTCATAGAAACATACAGATCAAACTAATTTTTATTGTAGGTACTGAATACAGTTTTTTACTATCAAAATATTTTCTTTTCATAACTTGTAATCACCATAAACCAATTTTGATTTAGTTTTTACTATATGGATAGGGTAAGCCATGATCGCCGGCAGCAGGGTGCAATTGCTCCCCTGTCCTGAAATAAAGCCTCATAGCTGAAGAAAATACCGACATAATACCTGCCCACTATGATAATCACATGTATTGATGAGTTTTCCTATTGCGTAAAGCGTAAAGAAACGAGAAGACTTAAAGTTATGCTTTGATTTCTTCGAACGCGAACCCAGAGAAGTCAGCGTCACGTTTCTATAAGGTTTCTATAAGGCTTGGTTTGTTAAAAGCTCTTGATAGGATAATTTTATTGTAAGCACCATTAAAAAAGTACTTCATAGAACCAAGTTCTGATAATTGTCTTACATCTCTGTCTTATCAGATCCAGAAAACGAAATTTCGAGTAAAGCTAATTCTGCTTACAATGAGCTAGCTATATTTGTATTTCATAAATAAATTATTTTCAATTAGAAATCAGGCTTTGTTAAAAAAGAGTTATTAGTAAAACATTTTAAGTTGAACTGTCATATTTATACTTTGGAAGATGTAACGTTATAAACGTTACACCTTTATTATTTTTATTTAAATAATTATTTTAGTTTAATTTCTTTATTAATTTATTAATTCCTTTACCTTCACTTTTTTTTTACTATTTTTTCTTCAAAAAGTAGTTGGCGCCCTCTTCCTCTCTTTTTCTGTCCCGTAGAATAAATATTCGCCCTCTCACTTTCTTTCCGGTAGAACAAATATTTGCCTCTTCTCTCTTTGTCCGGTAGACTAAATATTCTGTTCTATGTTGATAGAAGAGAAAGAGAGAAAGAGAGAGAGGGAGGAACAGGACGCCAACTACTTTTTGAAGAAAAAATAGTAAAAGAGAAACTGAAGGCAAAGAAATTCATTAATTAATAAAGAAATTAAATTAAAATAATTATTTAAATATTAATTAATAAAGACGTGACGTTTATAACGTTAAACATTTATTTTCTTATAATAATTCCTACCTTCTTTCATTAAATTTCAATTACTGACAAAAAAGAATATTCAAATACGAAAGGTGATTGACAGAAAGTAAATTAAGTAAGAAGAGATCCTTCCATCATAGGCATACATCCTACTTTTTGGAGAAAAAAAATGGAGAACGCCAATTACTTTTTGGAGAAAAAATAGTAAAAAATAAACTAAAGGTAAGAATTAATAAATTAATAAAGAAATTAAAATAAAATAATTATTTAAATATAAATTAATAAAGATGTGACGTTTATGTATAAGTAGCGATGATATTAGCTAAAGTTTAGTTGATACAATACTAGCGTGCTGTAAACTTATAAATAAATATATTTATATAAATTAGAACCGCTCGCTTTACTTAAAAACGCTACAATTTGTATGTCAAATGAACACAAAAATGCTACTTTTATCAATAAGTGGCTTGAATTTAAAAAGGGTCGTGAACAGAACCGAAGTCTCAAGAATTTCTAAGATAATCTTCTAAATTAAAATTCAACCAAACAAAAGATGCAGCAGACTGGCAATGTCACTAAAAAGTAATGAATAACTGAGAACAGACACTTAATGAAGTGCAAAGTGCAGGTGCAGATAATTAAAATCTGCTAAACGAACAAGTTATCGGTTAATTGATTTCATACTAGATATATAACTCTTCACTGTTCGTTTCTCCCAGAATTTGACCTTTTTATACATTATATAGTTTAACTGAAAACTAATAAGAGACCAAGATTGTTGAGTTATTAAACTGAATTATTTATGTTGCAACCGATTGTTCTCTCGTGACAAAAAACTTTATGTTTAGATCACGCGACTTTTCATGAAACACATTCTAGAACTTTCGATGACCTAGTTCGATCTTTCCGTAACTTAAACCTAAATTAGGTTTATCCGAGTATCACGAAAATATTAACAAGTTTTTCTTTCTTTATTGAAAATGCAATTAAAGTGGTTGTTATTTAATATTCAGCTTACGGCAATTTTTAATTAATATTTAAATATATATAAAAATGAGATACTATTTGTGATGTGTGTATTCCGGTTAATGTCAAGATCAAAATAAAATAAGGAGCAAACAAACAGGAAAGTATGAGGCTAATCTCAGGATGAAAACATATATTATCCGTTCACAAATTGTTGATAGCACGAAATGTGCCTCAAAGTCATAAAACGGTCGTAAAATTTGTATCATCATTGGCGTTCCTGAGGTGTTTATTCATTACAATTAATATTAATATTAATAATGTTTTAATACTAATATATTTAGCAAAAAACAATTAAAACTTTCATGGCTAATGTTGGTTATTATACTATATTAATAAAAATAAGAATTTAACCATTAACAATTTTGTAAATAAGAATACCTTATCTCTTTGGATATTTCAATATAATCTTCGCGCTTTTAATAATATAATGGGTATAAAGATGCCGGCTTTGGCCACGTGGGCACGTTTTTGATCGCATGTAATTTTCGGATCGTCGGTGTTTCCGCGTCTACGGCAGTAATTAGTGAAATAATTTTAAATGAAACATCCTGTATTTTGTAATTTTAATGACAAAAGAAACCAAGTGTCTCTCAAATTATATTTCCTCTACCTAAAGTTATTACTTTTGGAGATAATTGTGATTTATTGTTAAAGATATTTGTTGTTTTATTCTAGCAGGCCGTGTATGAATATGTCATAATTGTCATTATTGGTGGTTATTGGTACTTTTGCAAACTGATAGAAATGGCTCGTTTAGAATTAAACAATAAAGAATGCGTAAATTTACTTTTAATATATTATGCAGAATGGAGAATGTGACATACTAAGTATATGTACTTTATTCGATCAAAGATTTCCAGATCGATCACGAACTATCCGTGACAATGTGAAGAGATTACTTAAAAACGCTAGTTAACAAAACAAAGCCTACTGTTAATAATAATGATCATACAATTAATGTTCTTGGTTACTATGATGCTTATCCGGAAGCGTCATTACGTTGTTCAGCGAATTAAAAAAAAAATAAAAATTTCGTTCTTATTTTTACTTCAAAGTTTAAGGGAACAGACTATAATAAAAGAATATAATTTGTAACGATAAAATGTCAAGAAGTGTCAAGAAGTACGTGACGAATCAAAATTTACAAAAAACAGAATATTTAATAGGCACAATTCACAGTACTTTAGCCAAGTAATTCAACATTTAAGAAGAGCTAGTGGTTTTCAGGAGCGATAGGAGTGTAATGTTTTTGTACAATCAGAGATTTGTGAACACCCCATTTTTAGAAAGTCAATTTCGATGTAAAGTCCTGAAAGAATGTTACCTACTCTTTTTTAAAAATAAAAAAAGAATAGATAAAAAAATATGAAGTGTTTACCTACGGTAACTTATAAAAATCTAGTGTTCCATTAAAAATAATAAGTTGCTGCTCATTTCCGGTATAACCGGAATTTGCATGCCTGTCAAAATATTTTCATTAAGTTAAGTACAAGTCATAACTTGCAATCCCCTTAAATAAATTTTCATAAGTATCGTGTAAGCCGTTTCGGATATATAGACATAATGTCAGATTATGTAGAGCTATGTATCTTTTTAGTTGTGCCGATATCAGTTCAAAATTGTTTAGTTGGCAGTGGGTGGGAGGAAGACGCACAACATCAATCATGTGTTTTTGCAAGTTCTAAAAAAATTAAAAACAGTTGTTCAATATTTTTCAAAAATCTATCTAATGACAACAAACATGAACGTGTTTTTTCGTCCGGTGGCCTTGGGGAGCGTAGAGGAGGGTAACTTGGAAATCTTAAATGGTAACCCCCACTTTTTATTGTAGAATTGTATTCGTTATGCAAAATTAAGCAACCTTTATTTGAGACATTTTTTCGAATTATTGATAGATGGGAAAAATCTATGGAATGATACCAAAAATGATCCCCACCCTATCCCTGAGGTTTGGGGCAAACTGTGAAATATTTGATAGAAACTCCCATTTCCTATTGCAGTTTCTGATTTTACAAAACATTCTTAAAAAACTGTAGTCAATACTATACAAATTAG